ACCCTGCCCTCAAGCATTCATTCATTCATTCATTCATTCATTCATTCATTCATTCATTCATTCATTCCTGCTTAATTAGCTGGGGATTGTTCCAGAGCAACAAATGATTAAAGCCAAGTTCTGCCTTTGTTGTCACACTTCACAGCAATCCTCTTAATCCAGTGTTCCTCTTAATCCAGTGTTGTCCAAACTTGGCCACTTTAAGATGAGTAGACTTCAACTCCCAGAATTCCCCAGCCAGTTGAAGTCTACTCATCTTAAAGTGGCCAAGTTTGGACAACACTGTCTTAACCCCTGCAGTAAAGATGACAGCCAACAGGGAGTACTATGCATTTGATGGTATTGTAGGAGGAGAGCTGTGTCGATTTATTGTAGCCCCAAATCTGGATTCTGGTAGCACCTTTTGAGTCTAACCAATTTTATTGAAAGGGATACATTTTCACAGCCAGATTCCTCTTGATTTTTGACATTTGATGGTATAAATGGTGGAGGGGAAGGATTTGGATGGCTGGGGACCCGCCTTTTGGATGGCAAAGGGTCTTGCTTGGAGGTAGGCCACCAAAGCTGCTGAAATGGACATGTGCCATCCAGAAGAGGCAGTTTTCTGTTACTTAAAGCCTGCTGGGCTGAAGGCTGCAGCTCCATTTCAGGTCCTTAGTAGAGGGAGCATTGTGTCCCACTGAAGTTAAAACTGCTGTTTCCTTTCCTTACAAGCCAGCATAGAGTTGGAGGAAGCAAAGGGCCACAATCCTCCCCATCACTGAAGTCACTATTTGAGATCTTGGGGTGGGGGGCTCCCTCTAGACTTTTCCAACATGGTGGCCTCCAGATGCATTGGGAATGCAGCTAAAAAAAGAGATGATATCCTGTCTCTCTTATGATCTGATGCAAACCTAAGAATGAAGATGATAGTTAGAGATGATAGATAGATGACAGAGAGAGAGAGAGGGAGAGGAAGAGAGATAATAAGAGAAATAGGTAGGTAGAAAATGGAAATTAGGTAGATAAAAGTAGCAGATAGTTGCAATTTCTTAGCTATGTGGTAGGAATGAATACTCACAATCAACACATTCCCGCAGATCATCAGACTCAATTTTTTTGTAAAAGTGCCCACAAAATCCACCAGTGCTGGGCGGAAGTTAGGAGGACCAGTTAGGACAAGGCATTGAGGCCTGAAGGTAGAACAAGGAGATATCAGTACTTTACCAGTTGCAGGGGCCACCCACTCATAAGACCTTCTGTGTGACCGCAGTTGGGTTCCAAAGAGGACAAAAGAAGGACAGTCACAATGAGCAGCTGTCAATGGTGTACCAATGCCCAGGTTTTCCTGTATGAAGGGCATGGCAGAAGTCCATCAGTCCCCCTTTACTCTTGTCTTTGTCCACCTTCACATTGTTGCATCTGAATTTGCATTATGGACATTCCTGATGGCCTGAGCCACGGGCAAATCATATGCACATAATCGAAGGGGAAAATGGAGTTTGGAATTTCTGCCAAGCACCAGAACTCTTGGAGGGGAACCCTGATGTTTGTAAACTTTTGCAGATCAGGGAGAGATACCTACAGTCCAAATGTCATCTTGAGAAGCTTGTAGGAAATTGGCCTTATACTCTGTCAGGCAATTGATATATTGATATATTTCTTTTTATTTATTAGATTTATATCCCACCTTTCATTCAGGAGGCTAAGGCAGCATATCTAGCACTTCGTCTTGCTAAGGTAGGCTGGGCTAAGAAGGAGGGATTAAGCCAAACTCCCCCAAGGAGCTTCTGTGGCTGTGGGTAGATTTGGACCTGGGTTCTCCCTTCCTAGTCCAGCACCTTCACCACTACATCACTCTGGCTCTGGACCTGAGAGGGAAGGATTGGCCCAAAGTCCCCCAGGGAGCTTCCATGGCTGAGGTGAAACTAGAACCTCCTTGCTCCTAGTCCAACACCTCACCAGTACATCGCACTGGAATTCATTCACCTAGCTCACTCCACATCAGTTTTCTCCAGCTGCAGTTCCATCTTCCAGCCACATGAAATGGTGACCTTGTAGACCTCAGGAATCAGGCTAATCACCATTTGGCTTGCACAGTATTAAGTGACTCAGAGAACATGGCACCTGGACCCCACTGGCAGAGTCTCTGGTTGAAACCCAGTGGCTAACAAAACCTTACCTGTAATTTTTAATATGCTCATCCACCTCATTGAGACCCACAGAATAATTCAGGGCCATGTTGTAGGAACCAGCTTGCACAGATGAGCCCCAGTTTACCCCTGGAGAGAAACAGTTACCTTGGATCAGTTCATTGTTTTATTAAACAGTATCTTAATTTATGTTACTTCCATTTATTTACTTTGTTAGCTTTGTATTATTATTGTTATCGTGTATTTATAATACTCCATACTCTAGCCTTGTCGCTGTTGCAGAGGGAACATTTTGCCCATCTGTCCACTTCTAACATGTGAACTACATACCAGGCTTCTTGTAAAGAACGTATCCAAGCAAGAAAACCACAATTCCAATAGCAATGAGAGCAGCCCACCAAGTCAGCAGGAACATGATAACAACAGAAATGATGGCACCAAATAGAGCTGCCCACTTGCTGTAATACCTAAAGGAGGGCCTCCAGCCTGAAGGGAGAGGACAGAAAAGATACTTGGTATGAATCTAAGGCACTTTTAAACAACTCTCCAAATGCTGTAAATATGAAGTCTTGTTGCAGGACGATGATCGGCCAGCAGGATTATGGTCATTACAGTCATCACCTTGATTAAGAGATCTGATGCTTATATCAGAATATATCAATTAGCATTGGGTTAATGTTGTAAAAATAATGATCACAGAGTCCCAGGAAAGCAGTTACTATACAGAAAATTAGATTGATGCAGAGGCAAGTCATCCAAAATTCTGGATCTAAGCCTGGTTGTCACATCAACCCATGATGATGATTAGGCCTTCTGCCAACTGAACGGTTCACCGCTTGTTCTTCGGTGAATTGCATACAAGCCACATTAGATCTGTTCATATTAGAACTGTCTTCCTAGAAGGGAGGTTCTGAAGACTATTTTGTACCCAATTTGGTGGGTTACCTTTGCTGTTAAGCAGTGTGATGAAAGCCCTCACCTGGTGAGTTGGTAATGGAGGCATGGAAGCAGCTGAAATTGATGAGAGCATAGGAGCACAGAAAAAAGTTGGAGATGATGGGAGCGATGGCATTCAGTTCCGCTGTGGGAATAGTAGAAAAAGAGATGGTGAGTTCATCTATGTATATTGTTCAAAACACAAAAATTTGGCAATACTAAACTGAGGTATTTTAGCACAGAATTCACAATCCTTGGCTTAAGATGTGATCGAATTTTGTCTGTCTGCAATTTTAAGTTGACTTAAATTTTTAATTTTAAGTTACATTGACTGATTGACATTTCCTAGACTAATAAGAATATTGGAACCTAGTTGTTCTTTGGATTACAATGTACAATGTGAATTCTCAAAAATGCATTAATGATGTGTAATTGGTAATTCTTTATATCTTCTATCCAAATAGGCTATTAGCATTGTCTGAAAGTGAAGTTCTGTGAAAGCTTGTCTCAGAGAGTTGGGCCCTTGGATTACAAGTAGACCTTGCTTAGCAACTGCCTTGTTTAGTAACCGTTCAAAGTTATGATGGTACTAAAAAAACAATTTAGCAACCAGTCCTTGCATTTACGACCTTTGTAGCATCTCTCTGCTCTTATTTTCACTTGCTTATTTACCCCATATCAAGATGTCCTCAAAGAGAAAGAGGAAGAGCCCCAGTTCAGCTGAAGGAAGTAGCAAGAAGCAAAGGAAAACTGAGGTAAAATCGTAAGTACAATTGTGGTCACATAATTTTCACTTAGTGACCATTTTTTTTAACGACTGAGTTACTGGTTGCTAAATGAGGACTACCTATTACACCTTTCTCTGAACGTTGTCATTCTAGATCAGAAGTTGAATTCAGAATACTGAGTCTGCATCCCACATTTAATTTAGTTACTGAACTGATTCATTTCCTGGGTTTATGCAATAACACTGAGATAGCGCTTGCGCGCTCTCTCTCTCTCTCTCTCTCTCTCTCTCTCTCTCTCTCTCTCTCTCTCTCTCTCT